TGTATTTCCGGATGCTTTGTCCCGCCCTTAAACCAGTTGCACCAATATGCCCCTGTTCTAACTTACGCCTAATATTTCCTTTTTTGCCTACAATTATGTGAATGAGTGGTACTGTTTACAGTTTAGTTATGGAGGATGAAGCTTGGAGACCAGTTGCTGTGTTCTTACATTTTACTTGAGACACAGCATTCGTGTCACCAAAGGCCAAGAGAAAACCCAATTCTGTTGAGGCAGATGTCTGTCGACTCAACAATATCCTCCTTGAATACCTTCAGAACACAAGAAGATTCTGGGACGAATTGGCGGTGAAATGTTTCAGTTTTGCTATATTGGTATTTCAGTCCCTTTTACTGTATCTAAAAGATTCAGGAATATTTTTCCCATGGGCAGGTGACATTTGGTCGGGGGAGGGGATGTTACCCCTTTTGTTTATTTTAGTACTGTTTCTTATCACAAAGGTATACTTTAACATGTTATTTTTTGCTATTTTAATTTAATAAATTAAATTCAGGAGTAATTCCATTAGTAGCCAAAAGGATTTATCGACTTTTAATATTTATCTGGTCGTATTACTTAGCTTTGTATTTAGGTAGGTCGTTTAATTATGTCAACTGCTGGTGACCGGGCCCAAGCACCATAGGTTTTTGAGCTGCTCAACCCCTGTTCCGACCGAGACAAAGTGGGCTGGTAAAGCCTCACAGAGTTCATTCATACCTTCCTTTTGGGCCAGGAAGGTTCGAGGAAGTATCCACCTCTAACCACCTTTCGCCTCCCTAGAAAATCCCAGGAATTTTCGGGAGCCCTTTCTGCTAAGACTTATCTCGGTTGGAGAAGGCGGTTGAAAAAACTCTTAAAAGAAAGTGAAGCCAAGGAGCAAGCCTCTGTAGTGGGATGAGGACTTATTGTAAAGTGAACCCTATAAAGAAAATCTATTAATGTGTTTAGAGTTTTAGGCAACGCCTGTGCTGTGCCTATACTAATATTTCGTGACTCACTCAGAGCCATTTGTAAATACTAAACCCAGTACTGTGTTGTTTTAATGAGGAATGGTAAAAGTATTCTACTCATAGTGCAAAATATGAGAAGGTGAATTTAAGTGATTATTATGATTATTAATAAATTAAATAGAAACTAAGAAAATTCCTTTTCCTCTGAAGTGAGTACCTAGACGTACTAAGTTTTTGTTACGAAAAACACTATAACTCAGGGACCAACTGACTATGTTCGTAACAGTCCCTTAATGACACACTGACTTTCTTGAGTTATCCTGGATGGCTAACCCCCTGAGGTTAAAAATCCAAAAAAAAAAATTCTACCTTATCTTTAGTGTAATACAGGAGAGGCCTGGGGACATGATTAATGAACACAGGATAGGTTGCTTTAGTGGCAGGAATGGATAGTGTTTATAGTGTACAGTGGACCCTCGCATAACGCTATTAATCCGTTCCTGAGAGCTCAATGTCATGCGAATGAATTTTCCCCATAAGAAATAATGGAAATCAAATTAATCCGTTCCTGACACCCAAAAGTATGAAAAAAAAATGTTTACCACATGAAATATTAATTTTAATACACACAAACTGAAGAAGACATGCACAGTTACATGACACTTACCTTTATTGAAGATCTGGTGATGATTGATGGGATGGGAGGAGGGGAGAGTGTTGATGGTCTTAGTGTTTAGAAGGGGAATCCCCTTCCATTAGGACTTGAAGTAGCAAGTCCTTTTCCGGGGTTACTTCCCTTCTTCTTTTAATGCCACTAGGACCAGCTTCAGAGTCACTGGACTTCTGTCGCACAACATATCTGTCCATAGAGGTCTGTACCTCTCGTTCCTTTATGACTTTCCTAAAGTGGTTCACAACACTGTCAGTGTACAGGTTGCCAACACGGCTTGCAACAGCTGTCTGAGGGTGATTTTCATCCATAAAGGTTTGCACTTTAAGCCACATTGCACAGATTTCCTTAATCTTTGAAGTAGGCAACTTCTTCAATTTCTCTCTCTCCTCCTCCGAAGCAGTTTCCTCAGGTGTGGCCTCATACTGTTGAAGATGATCTAGCAGCTCATCAGTGGTTAGTTCTTCATTGTCATCCTCCACCAACTCTTCCACATCATCCCCACTAACCTCCAACCCCAAGGACTTCCCCAATGCCACAACTGATTCCTCAACTGGCATAAGCCTCTCAGGGTTAGCCTAAAATCCTTCAAAATCCCTTTGGTCTACACATTCTGGCCACAGTTTCTTCCAAGCAGAGTTCAAGGTCCTCTTAGTCACTCCCTCCCAAGCCTTACCTATAAGGTTTACACAACTGAGATATTAAAGTGATCTCTCCAAAACTCTCTTAGAGTCAATTGAGTTTCTGAGGTCACTACAAAGCCCCTTTCAAACAGAGCTTTTGTGTACAGTTTTTTGAAGTTTGCAATAACCTGCTGGTCCATGGGCTGCAGGAGAGGAGTGGTATTAGGAGGCAAAAACTTCACCTTAATGAAGCTCATGTCCCCACAAAGTAGCTCTGCCAAGTCTGTAGGATGACCAGGGGCATTGTCTAACACCAGGAGGCACTTAAGGTCTAATTTATTTTCAGTTAGGTAATTTTTCACATTGGGGGCAAATGCTTGATGTAACCAGAGAAAAAGTCCCTAGTGACCCATGCCTTACTGTTTACCCTCCACAGCACACACAAATTAGCCTTGAGGATATTCTTTTGCCTGAACACTCTGGGAGTTTCAGAGTGATACACTAATAAAGGCTTCGCTTTGCAATCACAACTAGCATTGGCACACATTAACAGAGTAAGCCTGTCTTTCATAGGCTTATGTCCTGGGAGTGCCTTTTCCTCCTGAGTAATGTAGGTCCTGCTTGGCATTTTCTTCCAAAACAGGCCTGTTTCATCACAATTAAACACTTGTTCAGGTTTCAGTCCTTCACTGTCTATGTACTCCTTGAATTCCTGCACATATTTTTCAGCTGCTTTGTGGTCCGAACTGGCAGCCTCACCATGCCTTATCACACTATGTATGCCACTACGCTTCTTAAATCTCTCAAACCAACCTTTGCTGGCCTTAAATTCACTCACATCATCACTAGTTGCAGGCATTTTTCTAATTAAATCCTGATGCAACTTCCTAGCCTTTTCACTTATGATCGCTTGAGAGATGCTATCTCCTGCTATCTGTTTTTCGCTTATCCACACCAATAAGAGTCTCTCAACATCTTCTATCACTTGCGATCTCTGCTTCGAAAACACAGTTGCACCTTTGGCAAGAACAGCTTCCTTGATTGCCGTTTTCTTGGACACAATAGTAGCGATGGTTGATTGGGGTTTACTATACAATCTGGCCAGCTCGGAGACGCATACTCCACTTTCATACTTAGCAATGATCTCTTTCTTCATCTCTATAGTAATTCTCACCCTTATTCCTGTAGGGTTGGCACTAAAAGCTTTCTTGGGGCTCATGGTCACTTATTTTGCAGATGAAATCACCAAAAATGCTGTAATAATACGAAAAGTTCCGACTGTATGCTTGGATGTAACCGCGGAGGCTGGCTTGTGAACAATGCCACCGGCGGAAAATGTGAGGCTGGCTCAGGCCGCACATTAGACGCGTCTTGGACGAATAGCGTTGAGCGAGTTTTTTAGAGGTATGCGAGGCAAAATTTTAGCGATAAAATGTATCGATATGCAGATTTAACGTTATGTGATGCCAACGGTATGCGAGAGTCCACTGTATTCTGGTTTTAACACTTTGACTGCTGCAAGCCCCAATCCTGAAGTATCTCCTGGTGTCGCAAAATATTCTAAAGAAAAGAATTATTTTTCTTATGAAAATGTTAAGATTATTTTTCTGATTATTTAAGTCTAAAAAATTTTTTTTTGCCATCAGTCCTTACTGAGATATAGAGCCATGAAGTTTGCAGAAAATGAACCACGTATGGCAACAGCGGTGACTGGCGCTCACCCAGTAAAAATTGATTTACTTGTATTTGAAGGTTTCTTCTTTTTTTCACTATTTGATTTTTTCACATAACTTTTGTGGCCTGTGAGACCAAAGTATGGTGCAATGTTCATATACAGTAGGGCCCCACTTATACGGCTGGTTAGGTTCCAGGCTACCGCCGTAGAGCAGAAACTGCCGTAAAGTGGAACACCCTTTTCTTCCACTTATAAATGCATATAAATACCAGATAACAAGTTTACACTAACATATATTACGTTAGCAATAGAACCAGGCATCAAAAACAATAAAAAAGTACAATACACACATAGTGCAATCATTACTTACCTTAAAATATTTATAGTGTTAATCTAGGGTGAGACAAGCAGTATTTATTGTAAGACATTGTGTGGTACGTATGGTAGTCAGCTGGGCTACCATACCAGGCTACATAATATTATATTACATTTAAGCATCCCAGAGTGATAAAATACATATACAGTTTACTCATTACTTACCTAAAAATATTTTTAGTCTTAATCTAGGGTGAGATTAGTAGTATTTATTGTAAAAAATCAAGTGTGGTATGTATGGTAGTCAGCCGGCTACCATACCAGGCCAACCCACCCACACATACTATTCTATGATATTTAAGCATCCAGAGTGGTAAAATGTATATACAGGTTCACTCATTGCTTACCTTAAAATATTTGTAGTCTTAATATAGGGTCAGGAGTAAGTAAATGAGATAAAACGAATAAATGAGAGAGAGAGAGAGAGGAGAGAGAGAGAGAGAGAGAGAGAGAGGGAGAGAGAGAGAGAAAAGAGAGAGAGGAGAGAGAGAGAGAGAGAGAGAGAGAGAGAGAGAGAGAGAGAGAAGAGAGAGAAGAGAGATGAGAATGAAGAAGGGAGAAGAGAAGGAAGAGAATGAGAAATGAGAATGAGAATGAATGAATGAATGAATGAATGAATGAATGAATGAATGAATGAATGAATGAATGAATGAATGAATGAATGAATGAATGAATGAATGAATGAGTGCATGAGGGAGGACAGGCGCAGAGTTATTTAAACAAACCAGGGGAAGGTAAGTTTTGTAAACAACAAAGTGTACACGTCTGGTTTGTGTACAAGTTACATTGTGTACAAGTTGTCTCTACATTGATGTGGTAGAATAAATAAAGAAGAACACTCCCATTCTCATGTAACATCATTTTGAGAAGAAATGATGCTCTGAGTGAAGGCAATGGAAATAAGTCACTTATTTTTTGGGTTATCCTGGGTTCTCTACACATATGCTGTTATGTATGATAATCTATGTAACTGTATTTGTGTGTACCTGAATAAACTTGCATACATACGAAAGGAATAATTTTCTACAGTTACCCCGAGGAACACATTTTCTCTTATGTTGGATTAGAGAAAATGTTATTCTTGCCGTCACTTGTACAAGTTATCTAGCTACCACATCTCATATTTATGTTTATTTATTCTATTGTGGGGTGTATTTATCATCTTTATATGTTATGTATCATGTTTATTATATAATTTTGAAAAAAATATCATGGATGGGTTAATGAAAATGTGGATATTAACGTAATATACGACATTTAATGAGACTCGGTGATAATTATTATCATTTCTAATATGGCGTCACTTGTGCAAGTCGTCTGCTACCACATCTCATATTTATGTTTATTTATTCTACTGTGGGGTGTATTTATCATATTTATATGTTATGCATCGCGTTTACTATATAATTTTGAAAAAATATCATAGATGGATTAATGAAAATGTGTATATTAATGTAATATACGACATTTAAATGAGACTCGGTGATTATTATTATCATTACTAATGTGACGTCTGGAGACATAAGACACTCTTACTGATTTTCATGTGTACCTGCATGCCAGCACAGTGTGTAAGTTTATTTAGGTACAGGTATACATAAGTATAATTATCAGAGTATATATAAAATATGAAATAACTTTTAAAAACACTTGAAATTTTGGAGTTTCCAGACAAAATGGAGAGACTTAGTGCTTACGGATCTCACAGAGAATGTAAACAAACTGGGTGGGGCGCGGTGACCGTATTAGAAAGTCAGGTGGGGGGAGCCATATAGCGAGTTTTGGTCATAATTTGAAATGACCATATTAGCGGAATGCCATAAAGCGAAATGCCATAAAGAGGGGCCCTACTGTATGCACTTGTTGAATGTAAGACAATTATAGCAAAAACACTAAAATCATCATAATGTTTACAAAACTTGTTTACACAAGCAATATAAAAAATTGTTTATTACGATTGTTCTATAATATATATACATATGTAGAATCACTGGACACTTTTCTAGAACTGCTGCAGCTGGGTGTAAAGCACAATGGTATTTTACACTACTCACACACATAAAATAAGTGTCTCTGCATTTTTGTGGGCGTTTTGTGGTATGTCCACAGACAAAACACCTCTTCTGAGCATTTTTCTTGAGAGCAGTAGCAGGCAGTGGTATGGGGTAGTGATCACCAGTCCTCAGATGAGAGGGCATGTGTTGATAATTTCATGGGCGCTGGTCTATTGCAGGTTTTATTCCTTGGTACTTGAATATTATTTGTCTGATGACTGACAAACAAAATTCACCATATTTGGGTTTGTTGTTGGTCTTCAACTTATACATATTATAAGCATTCAGCATGGAAATGTCAAGAAGATGGAAAAAAGAGTTTTATTTACCACTTATAACTCTTGCAAACAGAATCAGCAAACCCAATCTGCATGTCACATTTGTCCACTAACTGCATATTGAGGTTGTAATCCATCACAGCTGCAGGTTTTATAATGGGTTCATTGGTCTCTCTATTCTGCTTGCCACTGTCTACCATTTCGTATCGGTGAACTGATGTCAACAGTGTGACATCACGTTTGTCATGCCACCAAAATGCCATGATGTCATTGACAGCAAACACCTGAACATCACCTCTACGAGTGCCAGCGTCGAACCTAGGCATATGCTTACAATTTCCATGTATTGTGCCACACACATCTGTCATGTTCACTCGCAAGAAATCACTGAGTAAAGGGCTTGTGTACCAGTTGTCAGTATATAAAATATGCCCCTTACCAAGATATGGTTCTATCATTGTTCTAACCACATCACCAGAGATACCCAGTAACTTCCTGGTATCTTGCAATGTTTTACTGCCAGTGTACACAAGTATGTATATCCAAAACCAGACCACTTTTGCAATCACACAGTACAAATAACTTTACACCAAAGCATTTCGTCTTGCTTGGCATGTAATGCTTGAACGAGAGTCTTCCTTTGAACAAAATCAAAGATTCATCAATAACAAGCTTCCTGAAGGGATAAATACATACAACGCTTATGTTTCAGGTACATAAACACATTTCTGATCTAATATAACCTGTCGCTTCGTCAGGCCTTGTTTTGTCGGAAAAGTGTAGCATACGCAACAGTAGCACAAATCTATTCAATGGTATAATGTCACTGAAAGCTGGGGTTGAAATCAGGAGGTCTGTCGACCACTATGTGTTAACACTGTGCTTACATACATGTGGCATAAGCATTATTGTGGCAAGGAACAGATACATCTCTGCCACAGTTCTGTCCTTCCACTTGTGTAGCCGTGATCTTGGTGAAAGAATTGTGTTTGCCATGGTGTACTCAAAGTATGTATTGCTTTCCCTGACAATAATGTCCATCAGGGGTTCATCGAAGAATAATTGAAAGCATTCCAGTTCAGTGGCATTGTTCCCAAGTGTACATGATGGCCGTATTCCACTTTGTGTTTCATCAGTCATGGGGGACTGGGAACAAACTCGTCACCTTGCTGCCAATCCCAGATGCAGTCAGCTGGTGGGTTCTGGATACTGAAACGTGGTTGTGGTTGTGCAGGTTGTGGCTGTGGGTGTTGTGGGAGTGTGGGATTGGGTGAGGCTGGTTGTGGTTGTGCAGAGTCAGCAGCGTCGGTAGTAGCGTGGCCCGCTGCTGGTGCAACATGACTCATGCCACCATCACTATTACCACCACCACCTGCTGCCTCACTCACATCATTCATACCCATCGTAACAATATCATCATCTTCACTATCAGTTCATGGTGTAGGGCCACGGGATGTGCTCCGAGATTTACTCCTTCCCTTGGAACAGCATATGACACACTACCAGACCACATGCTACATCATATATACTGCAGCTTCACTGGGGAATCTTCACCCTCACTGTCGCAACTAGAACTGCTTTTAAAAGCTTTGAAATCACTATCACTTTCACTGCTCACATCTAAGTCTTGTACACGAGCAAATAGTTTCCTCTTTCGTCCTGGTAGAGGTGAACGTGATTGAGCTGGCCCAGCACCAGAGGTGGAAGGTCGTGGGTCATCTGGGTTTTCATCACTAATTACGTTATCCTGGGCACTGTTTTCGGTCACACCCACTTGAAAACCATGTAATTCACTTTCACTGACACTTCCATCGCTGTTAGAGCTATCACTTGGGAACAAAAGACCTCCAATCCGCCAAGGAGTGAGGTACTTCTTACCGTGAGGCATGGTGAAAATGGACTACCAAGATGGCGTTCCCACAATGCACTACTGAGTCCCAGATTTTTTCACAAGGTGCACACCCACCACTCAGACCCATTCTCTCTCATGTAGGCCTACCAGCCTTCTCCTGTTTGATTTGAAGCTGCTAGAATTTATGCGTATAGATACGTCAAACACGGTGGCTTGTAAGACATATATATACAACCAAAACAGTCAAGCGGTTAAATTGGAATTCGTTGAATTTTATATAAAACTACTGACATCTATGTTCTTTACAGGGTAGTTCTGATAACTGAATAAGCAGTTCCGTGTGCTCAATTGACAGAATGAAAGACATACAGTGGACCCTCGAGTTTCATGATTAATCCTTTCCAGAGAGTCTGCTGAATAGCGAAATTCATGAATGGCGAAACCATTTTCCCCATAAGAAATAATGGAAATCCAATTAATCCGTTTCAGACACCCAAAAGTATTAACAAAAAATACCTTTTTTTAAAGATTAATATAGATTTACATACAGAAAACAATGACAAATAAATATAAAGCATTAATAAAATGGATAAATGAAAATTTAACATCACACTTACCTTTATTGAAGACTCTTGTTGGTGTATGGCAGACAGGTAGGAGGCAAGAGGGGGGGGGGAGAGTTTATTATGCTTCAATATGATGCTAATATCATCTCTATGGCTTATTTATCCATCACTATTCATCTAATATGACATAATAAACAATATTAATAACATAGAAACATGATATATACTCTAGAATTAATAAAATGTCATTCTGTATGTCACAAGTGGTGATGGTGTTGTTGTTGGGTTTATAAGGGCCACTGAGAGAAGTTGTACATATTAGTGGTGGTGGAGGGTGCAGCAGAAGCTACCACCACTATTCACACAAACAATGTATAATGTATGTAATTTATAAATAAGAGATATTTACAGTTTAATTTATAAATAAGAAATATTTACACTTACCTTGGAGGAGATGTTAGTTTAATTAGTTAGTTTGATGGAGGAGATACTGGCAGACATTTAGGGTGGTGGAAGATAGCAGGGCGGCGTATGTTCAGTGGCCTTATACACCTCCAACAACATTGGAGAGTTACTTTCGTGTCGTTTTTCTATCGCTTAATCGCTTAACTTACTTGCTACACTGTTAATGCTACACTTTATCACTGGCTGGTGCTTATCGATACCTACTGCTTTAGTATCATACATATCGTAAAATCACTGAAGCACTGAAGAAGGCACATTCTCCCCTCTCTCTTCCTCCTCCACTTGAATTCTATCATGCTTCTTTCCTTCTTTATCAAAGGGCTGGCACTATGAGCTTTCTTTGGGCCCATGGTGGCTTATTTAACAGTTGCAAGCACAAAAAACAATGGATTATTAAGAAATGTATCATATGAACCTGTGGGGTGATGGTAGCTCACCCACAAATCATGCCACACTGACTCTCTCAATGTTGTGTGGGAGCCTTTGTGTACACCCAGCCACTCCCGGCTTCACGGACATGTCCCATACAATGGACGATTCATGAGGCCAATCACGAACTGCAAAGCTATATTTTGACGAAAAAGGTGCCGAAAGTCGGATTTCACGAAAGTCGTGGCTGTCGAAACGCGGCAGCCCACTGTACTAGCCAAGTAGCTATGAAATTGGTTATAATGAGCAATGGAATTCGTTTAAAAATAAAAGTCAAAGTAGGGGTAATCGCTGATGCATAAACTGTGCCCAGACTGCCAACTTTGCACTTGCATAACCCTGTAAGTTTTCATAAAATTTAATATATTTTTTTATGTCATTACCTTCAGAAAAGGATTCTCTACCATTTGAGAAGAACAGTGGAAAGCTTAATAAGCAATTATAAATTAATTAATGTAAGAAGCCTGAATTAACAGAGTATATATGTTGGTAGAATTACTGACAATATGTAAAGTACAAGTGCAGCTAATGTGACATTTTATTGTGGCAATGTTTTACTCTCCAGGAGCTCTGTCAAAATACCTTTCCTAGACGTCACCATTCACATGCTACCTTTTCTAGACATCCTCATTCACAAAGTAGACAACAACCTAAGATTTAAAGTTTACCAGAAACCTACAAATAAAAATGATGTTACACACTTCTATTCCAGTCAAGATACTAAGGCCAAAAGAGGCATCATCATCGGATTTTTCCTAAGAGCATACTGAATCTGTAGTCCTGAGTTTCTTGACGAGAAATGTACATACATTCACCAAACCTTCACTGATTTACATTTTCCTTCCTTTTACATGAAAAATTGCATGAAGAGAGCTCATCAGATCATTAAATCTTCACACACCAACACCACTCCTAACAAAGTTATAATTCTTCCCAACAGCCAGGTTGCACTAAACATTTCTAAAGTACTTGCACAAGCTAATACTAGAGTTGCCATCACTTCCAGCACTTCAATAAAAGATCTAACCAGGAGAAAATCCAAGCACCATGAACCAGTCAATGCAAGGGTTTACACTATAACCTGTGGAGGCTATGACAGGATTTGTGTAGGTGAAACAGCAAGAAATCTTGAAACCTGCCTCAATGAATGCATTTATGCATGTAGGAACAATAACTTGAACAAAGCCTGTGTACAACACCGAAATTCCACTTATCATCTCATGAAATTCAGGGACGCCTGATCAGTGATCAAAGAAATTAATTTCCGCAGATGCAAGTGCCTTGAATCAGCACTAATCGCTGTTTCTAATACAATTAAACAAAACAAAGGCAGCTTTACCATCTCTGAAGTCTTAGCGAGAATCCTCCTGAAAACAGTAAACCCTGCCATCATATAGTCTCTCCTGCTAATACTACACAAGCAAATTACAGAGGATGAACACTGAAACAGGCCTTCTCTAATCCAACCTCCAATAGAAATATTTGTCTAACCTATTTTTATACTACCCAAGTAACAGCTTTTATATCCTTTTACTCATGCACAAGCATGAGTATTGTATTACTACTACTACAACTGATATCACTACTACTACTACAACTGATATCACTACTACTACTACAACTGATATCACTACTACTACTACACTATCACTAGCATTACACCTCGCTCTAAGCCTATATATACCCTCTGTGTCCATGTATTGTTTGTATCGGCTTGACAAAGCTCCTGGAGAGTGAAACGTTGCCACAAAAAATGTCACATTAGTTGCACATGTGTCCTTTTACTTTGAATTAACAGTGCAAAATAAAAAAAAGAAAACATCCTCAAAGAATTTGAAGGGTTTTAATTTATAAATTTGTAGTGAGAGAATGAGTACAGAGTGTTTAAGTTTTGACTCTGAAAAACAACAGGAGCTAAACACATACTCACTTGTTCCAACAAAGAGAACTATAATATTTTTGATGAAATCAACAACCCCATTAGAAGTCTTTTGAACTTCCCGTACTCGTCCAAACAAGGAATCATACGTAGGAGGAGGAACTGAAAAAATATATAAAACTGCAATTAAATATATGATTCAGGAGAATTACAAAAAAACATTACAAAGAGATGTATAGACTTACCCATACCTGTGACTGGTATGGGTCACAGGAATGGGTAAGTCATGAAAGAAATTAAGTCATGAAAGAAATTGAGACAAGAAAAATAATGAAGTTTATACTCATTATTATATACAGGTTTAAAGAGTAGCTATTAAGAATCATACCATTGAGATTGTGGCATTCATCATAAGAGGGAGGTGGACCAGGGATGGGCTCAAAAGGACTTATTCGTGGGGGATTATATGTGTAGGCCGGCGGAGGCCCCAGAGGCTCGTCTAGAGGTGGGATGCTATCTGTGGTTGTTATCTGTCAATATATTGCATAATAAATAATAATTAGTAACACTCAACTTAGTAATCTCACTCCAAACTTTTTATTATTCTCAGCAAAATTTACTGAGAGCATCTCACCCACTCTCTCATTTGCTTTCATTTTACATTCCTTTAACACTCTCAACCTCTCTTTTTCTCTCCATATACTCTTCCCTCCTTACATCATTTCATACTTTGTAAAAACTGATGACATTTTGTCTCCTACTACTCTCTTTACCTCATCATTCCACCAATTGCTCTTCTTCCCTCCTGCACTCATTTTCCTGTAACCATACACTTCTGCTGAACACTGTAACATTGCTTTCTTAACCTTTTGAGGGTCGGTCACGTACAAGTACGTCATTGCAGCCAGGGTCGGTTACATACTTGTATGCATAAATTCTAGCGCCTTCAAATTGAGCAGGAGAAAGCTGTTAGGCCTACGTGTGATAGAATGGGTCTGTGTGGTTAGTATGCATAGTAGGAAAAAATCTAGGCACCTGCACTGCATTGTGGGAGTGGTAATTCAGTGTACCTTTGTCACCAAGCCAAGTAGTAAGGAAGACCTCACTCTTCCTTGAACTGAGACTGTTCTCTTCTCAAGTGATAGTTATAACACAGATTGAAGTGTCACTGAAGATAAGGAAGGCAGTGTGAATTTGTGTAAACAACTTGGCTGGGTGGCTGGCTTCTTGGCTGGTCAGGTGGCTGGCTGGCTGGTCAGGTGGCTGGCTGGCTGGCTGGCTGGCTGGTCAGGTGGCTGGCTGGCTGGCTGGTCAGGTGACTAGCTGGCTGGCTGGCTGGTCAGGTGGCTGGCTGGCTGGCTGGCTGGCTGGTCAGGTGGCTGGCTGGCTGGTCAGGTGGCTGGCTGGCTGGTCAGGTGGCTGGCTGGCTGGTCAGGTGGCTGGATGGCTGGTCAGGTGACTGGATGGCTGGTCAGGTGGCTGGCTGGCTTGTCAGGTGGCTGGCTGGCTGATCAGGTGGCTGGCTGGCTGGTCAGGTGGCTGGCTGGCTGGTCAGGTGGCTGGCTGGCTGGTCAGGTGTCAGGTGACTGGCTGGCTGGTCAGGTGACTGGCTGGCTGGTCAGGTGGCTGGCTGGCTGGCTGGTCAGGTGGCTGGCTGGCTGGCTGGCTGGTCAGGTGGCTGTCTGTCTGTCTGTCCCTCAGGTACATATAAATACAATTACATGTATACATAGTGTAAATTACCTAGGATAACCCAAAAAACCCAGACTGGCAAATAATAGTATCAGAACTCAGATGCGGCACTGCGTTGTGTGTAATACATGTTGGTTCACTGGTGGCTCTCTCTGAGACAGAGAGAGACAGAAAGAGAGGCAAGCAGACAGACAGACATGTTTGTGTAAAGTGAAAACAAATAAAGCTAAGACAGTGTACCCTCATCAAATGTCACCACTGTCATTAGTGGAGTGATCAGATAGGACAAGTGACACACCTCTTACACCATGCTTCCATTATTTTATTCTCCCGTGTATCCTAGGTAATTTACAGACACACAGCCAGCCAACCAGCAGGCCAGCCAGCCAACCAGCAGGCCAGCCAGCCAACCAGCAGGCCAGCAGGCCAGCCAGCCAACCAGCAGGCCAGCCAGCCAACCAGCAGGCCAGCCAGCCAACCAGCAGGCCAACCAGCCAACCAGCAGGCCAGCCAGCCAACCAGCAGGCCAGCCAGCCAACCAGCAGGCCAGCCAGCCAACCAGCAGGCCAGCCCAGCCAACCAGCAGGCCAGCCAGCCAACCAGCAGGCCAGCCAGCCAACCAGCAGGCCAGCCAGCCAACCAGCAGGCCAGCCAGCCAACCAGCAGGCCAGCCAGCCAACCAGCAAGCCAGCCAGCCACCCAGCCAGCCAGCCAGTAGCCAGCCAGCCAGCCAGGCCAGCCAGCCAGCCAGCCATGTTGTTTACACAAATCCACGCTCCCTTCCCCACCAAAACATTGCTGGGACCTATAAATACTATGCATGTATTTCTAGATAATAGTATGTGACTAAAATAGGTGAAAATGTTCACCTGTCAATGTTTGTGCAAATATTGTGTAGCATACAATCAGTGTATATATCCAAAATATGGCTTACATTGGTCTCACAGGCCATAAAAGTTACTTGAAAAAATAAAATATTAAAAAATAAAAGAAAAAAGTAGAAAAATAATAAATAAACTATTACTGCATGACCTGCATTCGGCGATGTTGCGTAAGCGGATCACTTTCTGTCAACTTCACGCCTCCATATCTCGGCAAGTATTAATCACAAAATTTTTTTGGGCCTATAACACTCACAAAAATATGCTCTATCATTTCAAAAGAATTTTTTTTTTTTTAATTTTCGACCCTGAGAACAAATTTGGGAGATGGCTTGTCAACTCTCAAAGGGTTGAATCTACCCCACACCTCTTCAACCTCATTGCCTATATTCTCACTAGCTCATTTTCCTACCAACTGTCTCCTCTTGTAGTTTATAAACCTTCACCTCTCTTACTTGCTGAAGCCATTCTCCTTGTATCCCATCTACCTTTTATTCACTTTAACTATAACCCAAAAATAATCTGATATATCTGTTGCCCCCTCTATAAATACATATGTACATCCTGAAGTCTACCCATCAATCTTTTATCACAGTATCAGGGGCAGCGGCAGTAAGGCCTTTGCTCCTCCGTTTTACAATCACCAGAGGATACTAACAATCCTGTGATGGCCTAGCAAAAACGTACATAACACTAACACAAGTTGAGACCCAAGAGATAAATCAGCTGCAAAAAATCACCTAAACCTCTCAAATCCATGCAATAATACCAACCCAGAAGATTTGTTGTCACCCCACCATTCATCCCACTGCCAAGCGAAGTGAATCTTCTCAACATCTGCCCACTACTTATACTGAACAAACCACCTGAACCCACTGGCAATGGCCAAGGGTCAGGTCAACAGAAGAAAATCCAGTAAACAAGCCAGGACTCACAAAAACACAGGTGAGGGGAAAATTAATACAAGCACAGCATCCCCTCCCAGCAAGGACACAACCCTCACCACCCACAGCTGCCCTCACAATACTCCCCAAACGTCAACAAACATGACCACCTCTCCAAGCAAAGAGGATAACTCCTTCCTTGGATTCAACACACTGGAGCTCCAAGAACCAGAGGTGGTTAAAATTCATCAAGATACAGGAACAAAAAAATTGCCACATTAACCTGAGAAATGCAGGAATTAAGAACATCAAATGGCATACTCACCCAGGAAGTACAGAAACTACAAACCACCAATGTTCAGTTCTTTGACAGAATCACAACTCTAGAAGGCAAAATATACAAAATACACCAACAAAATAACATGCACACTGAAACTGAGGACACCATCAACCTCCTAGGAGAACAAGTCACTAAACTGAATACCAACCTCACAGAAGAAAGATCACGAGTGGATCTCCAATTCGCCAATGTCATCAACAACATCCAAGACCATAATGACCAACAACAGCTATCTGATGCTGTTCTAGTTAATAGCCAATATCTCCCAACCACAGTCACCCAAGAGACCACCCTACAGCTTATCAAGGACCTCTTTCACCTAAAAGCTGCACATGTCCTGTCACCCATTATTACAACAATGTTTAACAAATCTGTAACATCCTCAACCTTCCTATCTATACTTAAGACAGCAAAGGTTACCCCAATCCTCAAAGGAGGGGATCTAACTGACTTGAACAACTACAGACCCATATCAAACTTGCCCTTACTTTGCTTTCCAAAAGATTAAAAAAAATAATACACAAATGACTTTACTCCTACCTTTTTTCCAACAACATACTTAACCCCTGCCAGTTTGGGTTTAGACCAAAAAAAAAGTACGAATGACGCTATTATACAAATGCTCAAACTAATATAAACAGCTCTCGATAAAAATGAATATCCTCTGGGGCTCTTCATTGACCTATGAAAAGCATTTGATACAGTCGACCACAAACTCCTACACCTAAAGCTAAATCATTATGGCATCAGAGGACATTACCTTGATTACCTAAAATCTTACCTTAATGACAGGCACCAGTATGAATATACAAGTGGAGTCAACTCCGCTATCCAGCCTGTAGCTGTAGGAATACCCCAAGGTAGTGTCCTAGGCCCACTCCTCTTTCTCATCTACATCAATGATCTCCCAAATGCAGATGACACTACTTATGTCTACTCCCATTCAAACCCATCTGCACTTAGAAACACTGTAAACAATGAGCTGCTAAAAATATATACAGTAGGGCCCCACTTATATGGCAGGTTAAGTTCCAGGCTATCACCGGAAAACAGAACGCCATTTTTTCCATTTATAAATGCATATAAATGCCAGATATTTGGGAGTGGAGGTGTCAGCGGATGGGTCTATGAAAGATGAGGTGAATCATAGAATTGATGAGGGGAAAAGGATGAGTGGTGCACTTAGGAGTCCGTGGAGACAAAGAACTTTGTCCTTGGAGGCAAAGAGGGGAATGTATGAGAGTATAGTTTTACCAACGCTCTTATATGGGTGTGAAGCATGGGTGATGAATGTTGCAGCGAGGAGAAGGCTGGAGGCAGTGGAGATGTCATGTCTGAGGGCAATGTGTGGTGTGAATATAATGCAGAGAATTCGTAGTTTTGAAGTTAGGAGGAGGTGCGGGATTGCAAAACTGTTGTCCAGAGGGCTGAGGAAGGGTTGTTGAGGTGGTTCGGACATGTAGAGAAATGGAGCGAAACAGAGTGACTTCAAGAGTGTATCAGTCTGTAGTGGAAGGAAGGCGGGGTAGGGGTTGGCCTAGGAAAGGTTGGAGGGAGGGGGTAAAGGAGGTTTTGTGTGCGAGGGGCTTGGACTTCCAGCAGGCATGCGTGAGCGTGTTTGATAGGAGTGAATGGAGACAAATGGTTTTTAATACTTGACGTGCTGTTGGAGTGTGAGCAAAGTAACATTTATGAAGGGGTTCAGGGAAACCGGCAGGCCGGACTTGAGTCCT